AATTAAGTAAAGAAATTAAGTTATTTAATTGATATATTTATTTATTTTATTTCTATATTATATTTATATATATATATATATATATATATATATATATATATATTCCGAAAACTTCTTAAAAAATGCCCTCGAAAATATTGAAGAAGAAATAAAACTCAACGGAGAATGCGTTACTTAAGATAAGCAGACGACACCGCCATTATTGCGGACAGTGCTGAGGGTTTACAACGACTTTTGAATGTCATAACCAGAGAGGGAGATAGTTTGGGACTAAATATAAACACAAATAAAACAAAAGTAATCGCTGTTACATGTACACAAAATGTCGACATAAATATTTGTATCTATAACAAACATATAGAACTAGTATAAAGATTAAAGTATCTTGGTTGCTGGTAACAAACGATCTTGACCACGAGGTCGAAATACGTGCTCGTATAGAATATGCTAGGTCCGTATTTCAACGAGTGAAAAAATTCCTAATAAACTGTACGTTATCGTTGAATATTCGATACCAATTTGTAAAAACGTTTATTTATTCCATATTGTTATAAGGAGTGGAAACATGGACTCTCGGAATTACAATTATGAGGCGTATAGAAGCCTTTGAGATGTGGGTTTTTCGAAGGATGCTGAAGATCTCTTGGACAGAGTATGTAGTTACAGAGGAGAAAAATACAACTTCCTACGACTTATAATGAAAGGGAAAATGGAAGGAAGAAGAGGTCCAGGTAGAAGGAAATGCTCCTGGTTGAAGAATGTAAGAGACTGGACAGATATGGACACACATTCGATACTAAGAACAGCTCAAGATAGAGAGCAATTTGCTGTAGTTATAGCCAACCTTCAGTAATGGAGAAGGCACCTTAAAAAGAAGAAAGAATAATGATTGAACAAATTTTCTCATCGATAACTTTACCTCGATCCATTGTACAATCCACAAACGGCAAAAAGCTTTACAATACTACAAAACACATTTGACAATAACTGACAATATTATTTTTCCATAGCTACCTCTAGATTTAACGTAATTATGAAAAAATCATGATACTAAAAGTAAAGTCATGTTAAGGTCGATTCAGACACATCAGTCCCGTCACAGTCTCGGCACCTAACCGGTCCTGTTTGGTCACAGAACTATTAATTATTTGACAGCTGGGAAACTGTTCGTCGCCTGATGAATGTGAATGCCGGCGCCATATTTCTATTAAAGAATATTTTGTACGACGGATTGTTTGGTTCGGCGCCAGGACTGTGACGAGACGTGAATGATGTGTCTGAATCGACCTTTAGAAGTACGGGTTTCGAATAGTTTTATCACCAATAGAGGTCTGCGACAAGGTGACCCGTTATCAACAGATTTTTTCAATTTGATCTTAGAGAAGATTTTACGAGAATCTAATATCTACACTAGAGGCACAATATATCATCACAGGCATCAATGTGTAGCATATGCAGATGATGTTACCTTAATAACAAGAAGACCTGCAGAATTAAGAGAAATCCTTACTAGAATAGAGAGAATACTCAGGAAATATGGTTTAGAAATAAACGAAGAAAAAACAAAATATATGGTAATGAGGGGAAACGAAAATCATCTAGGACAGTCCTTTAAGATACAAAGCCCAAGTAAAGAATATAACTTTGAAGTTGTTAGCCAATTCGATTACTTGGGAGTGACACTAACAAATAGGAACGAAGAGAACCAAAAAATCATAAAAAGAATGGCCAAAGGTAGTAAGAGTGCTGGAAGCCTGACTAAGATACTGATGTCGAAGATAATATCCAGAACAGCAAAAAAACGAATATATACAACAGTCATCCGACCTACAGTACTCTATGCTAGCGAGACCTGGACACTAAATAAAGATATGGAAGTAAAATTAGATAGATGGGAACGAAAAATTCTTAGAAGGATATACGGAGGTGTAAAAGAGGGGAACATCTGGCGAAGAAGAACGAATGAAGAAATAATGCAAATATATGGGCAAAGAAAAATAACAAGACTCGCTAAAATTCAAAGTTTAAGATGGCTCGGACATATAGCAATAATGAAGAAAGGAAGAGTTCCCAATGAATTAATAAACACGGAGGCTGGTACAAAAAGAAAAAGAGGCCGCCCCGAAGAAAATGGCTGGGGTCGGCAAAAGAAGATCTGAAGTCGCTGCGGGTACAAGATTTAAAAAACTTAGCACAAGATAGAAAGAAATGGAAGAAACCGTTGAAGCCTTGGGCCTTTGAGGCCTGTTGAGCTTAACTATATATATGAAAAAATCAACGTATGTTGAAATAAGTGAATGCACAGCCAGAGTTTATTGATTTTTTTATTGTTGAAAATAAATAAAAAAACTATAAGGGTAATTTTTTAAATAAATATTAATAAAAATGGCATATTACTTAATATGGGAACCTATAAAAATATGTAAAGTATAATTTGTTTATAATAAACAACCTAAACTGCAAATTTCATAGGGGGACAACTGATATGGGAAGGGAAAAATTACTGGGCGCTATTTTTTGACTGGAATATCTGGGGGATTAATAGAAAAGGAGTAATATTTTGTGGTTATCGAAACTTTTACTATGTCATGACATTTAAGCAAAAAATGTGAATTTTTCATTTATATTTGAAAAAACTACGCATTTTAGATAAAACAGTTTAAAAGACGACTTTCTTGAAAATACTTGATTTTTAAAGTGGGATTTTCTAAATGCAAATTAAACTCGAAAATAAGTATGTTTTTCAATTGTTTCTAATTATTCAAAAAACAATCAAAACTTTTAAAACACTTTATTTCATAATTTGCATTTTTATACAGTTCGTAAATAAACGCATCAAAATCAGTTTTTTGTTTTTAGCAGTTCGAGGAGGTTTATCGCTGTGTTTCGAATTAGTGCTATTTATTTGTTATTATATTCTTTTTTCGAGCTATGAAAAGGAGACATTATGTTAATAATGCAGACTGCTTTTCTTATATTTGTGGCAGTTTTGTGCTTGCAAAACAAAGACATAACTAATCTTATTTGTTCGTAATGCGTATCATGCCTATTTTGAAGTGAAAGTAGAAGAACAAGACAAATCTTGGGCACCACATATTGTATGTGAAGTTTTAAGAAGTTAAGAAGCTTTAAGAAGTTGGACAAAAGAAAGAAAATAGTAATTGAGTTTTGGAGTTCCCATTGTGTGGCGTGAGCCACAAAACCATTCTAATGATTGCTACTTTTGCTCCTGCAATTTAGAGATTTAATTGTAAGAATAAAAAAAATATTTTATATCCGAACCTACTGCCATTAGGCCTGTTTCTCATAGCCCTGATGTACCCATACCTATTCCACCAAAGCAATTAGAGAATGTATTTGTCGTCTGATTCGGAACAGTCTGCATTTGAGTCCACAGATCCCGACGTTACTTTTGAAGCAGAAGCAGGACCACAACTATTTAATCAAATGGAATTAAATGATTTAATAAGAGACTTAAATCTTCCCAAAGATGCTTCAGAACTTCTAGCCTCTAGACTTCGCGATAAAAATTTGCTGGCTTTAGATACATCAACCAGTTTCTACAGAAATCGAGAAAAGAACCTAAGTCCATATTTTACTCAAAAAGATTCTTTAGTATATTGTAACAATATCTCTGACTAAGTTATTAAGCTAGGAGCTGCTTCTTATGAGAAGGAAGAATGGCGACTATTTATTGACTTTAGAAAAAGTAGTCTAAAAGATATTTTACTGCACAATGATACTACACTGGCTTCTGTTCCGGTCACTCATTTCTGGATTAGAAAAAATTAAATACTGAGACTATAACTGGTTGCTTTGTGGAGATCTAAAAGTTCTCTGTATGCTACTTGGGCAACAGTCAGGTTATACTAAATATCCTTGCTTCATTTGTGAATGGGACAGCTGAGCATGAGATAAACATTGGACCTAAAAAGAATGGCCTATAAGAGAAAACCTTACGTCAAGAAGTAAAAACATAAAACACAATGCCTTAGTTGATCGCGAATGAATTTAATTGCCCCCTTTGCATATAAAATTAGGTTTAATCAAACAGTTTATTGACAAAAACGGAGAATGTTTTAAATATATTTGTTCAAAATTTCCGAAGTTGTCCGATGCAAAATAAAAAGAAGGAGTTTTTGTTGGTCCCGATATTAGATTTCTATGCAGAGACGAAAACTTTCAAAATTCTATGACGCTTATCGAAAAGAAAGCGTAAACTTCATTTAAAGAAGTTATCGAAAAGTTCTTGGGAAATAAAAAAGTTCGACTATGAGAACATTGTCACACAAATGCTACAAAATTTTTGTATTCTAGGATGCAGTATGAGTTTAAAAGTACATTTTTTATTCGCTCATCTAGACCAATTTCCACGAAATCTTCGAGCTGCGACGAGCAAGGGGAACTTTTCCACCAAGACATTAAGCAGATGGAAATACGTAAATGGGGCGTATCCATGCTGGCAGACTACTATTGGATGCTATAACGTGATAATCCTGACAAAATTTATAGAAAAATTTCTACCAAACGCAGTTTTTTGACAAAAAGGAAAAGATTTCATTAAGTTATGCATACAAAATATGTAGTTTTCTTTATTTTGAGCATTACTCTTATTTTTAAAATGTTTTTTTTGTAAACCTGTGTTATCTTTATAAAGTCTCATATTTTTATGTTTTTTTGAAAATTTTAATAATTTTTAATCGTTTACTTACAAATAATTGATGCAGAATGAAGTACCATTACCCTTATATTGGCAATATCCCTAACTTATGCCGCGCAGTACGTATTTGTTACATATATAATGATAAATCTAAAACAATATTGTAACGTAGGTATGTGACCGTTCAAAAATATGAATATGAAACTACACTCAACTTATTTTTTTCTTATCCTCTGTAATTGAGTTGTTCCTGCATGTCCCCCTATCATCACCTACAACGAACTATCAACATTTTTGATTAATCCAATTCCTATCCAACGCTTATCTCCCCTGTTATATAGAACCACAAGTGATACGAACGAGAAAATTCAACATTACCTACAATTCATTCAACCAGTGTGTTGTGAAGTGTATGTACGTATGAACTTGGTTGTCAACATTCGAGGCCAGAAATATTAACACTTTTTGACTAAATAATAAGTAAGGTACGTTGAGTTTTTGTGTTATTTGTTTAATATCTACTTATTATTTAACGAAACAAATATTAATGTGGTGGATGTGTTTATTGAACAAATGATTGTTGATTTCAGCACCGGTAAGAATTTGTATTAAAATTTATTTGCCAAATTATTAATTAAATTAGCAATAAAACAATGTAAACAAAATAGTTTTTAGTTCTATTGCTATCAATATTTGCACTGTATTACGGTTATTTGTGATATTCATTTTTATCAAAAACTTTTGAATCTTCGTCTCTCTTTCGAAAAACTATTGGCAGATATAATTTGTATCAAAAACATTGTTATCTAATGCACAAATTTGTTCTCGGTCGATTTTTGCTAACAAAGTATTATTGTAATAATGTATAATTTCACTTGTTATTAAGGTATTAAAGTTTTTAAGTTTTCTTCTACATGCAGTAGTAGTCATTAGGATTAAATTTGAATCATTTCTTAATCGATGATGTTGTCTGGTCAACAAACAAGATGGCATTAGAAAACCGTTGTGTCACATACATTATAAAATAGAAATAAACTGTTAAATACATATTTTAGAATATTTTCGTTCTCAAAAAAAATTTTGAGAACGATTTCCGAAGTGGAAATTGAAACGTCAATAAACGTATTTTTATCTTTAATTGTGGCTTATTTCCAGTTAAATAGTAATGTCCCCGTTCCCGTGCTTATTATGATTGGAAAAATGTACACAAAATATTGTCAGAGTATGAAAACTCCAGTGACCACATTAACTCCATCACCAACTGTCGAGGACATCGCTATGATAATGCGTTAAATATGTCAAGTAAATATATAGGACTCAAATCCAGAATAAAACATTATAGTTTCCTGTCCATTTCATACCATGCTCCAATCATTTTTAAATTTAATTGGAAACGCTACTGCCGAAATTTTTATGGAAAATTAAAATCTGAACTTTGTTCAATATCGCTCAGGAATTGTACATATATTTTTTTCAAGTTCTATACAAAGGTGGAATGCATTACATAAATTTTGTACGGGCAAACACATGAGTATTAAACCTATTTGTGAGACCAGGTGGTCTGCTCTTTCCGATGCTCTGAAATCTTTAAAGTAAAATTATGAAGAAATTAAGCTGCCAAATCACATAAAAGCTTGATAAAAAACTTGATACATTTGAGTATGTATTGTTACTTACTATGTGGGAAAAGATTTTAGGGAAAATAAATGCCTCAAACAAGACTTCAACAAAAATACGAATATCTAAATACAGCAGTTTTAATATATGAGTAAGATTCATTGGAGAGTAAGATTTAATGATAAAAAATGGCAGAAAATACGAAAACTATTTTGTGAAGAAATTCCAGAACATAAAATAAGATTCAGTGGCAAACAACATACAGCTAATATTTTTGTTGCTGTATGCGATTCTTTACTGATCGCATAGAGATCTGAGGGATATGAAAGTATGTATTAACAATAAATTTAAAACAATTGTTCATGAAAGCGATCTTAGAGACTCTTCAATAGAGGAGTTAAAAGGACAATTTAAGACTTTTAAAAGTAAAGAAAATGTTATTTAACATGTAGTAATTTATTCAGGGAAATAATATTATTGCAACATTTCCAAATTTATACAATTCTGATTAAATTAATAAGTTAAATAGTTTATCATTACTTTATATAGAAAGAGTTATTAGGTAACTTTATTAATTATGACAAACTAATTGAAGGTTTTGCAGAATTAAAAGTGAGAAAAAAGGCAATATAACAAATCAATCCGGTTTTATTTGTTTAAGTTCTATTGTTTGTTTTAATAAACTATGTTTATTTAATTTTTGTACATGTATATTATTTTTTTTCCGATTTTTCTTGGATTCCGATAATTAAATGAAACTACATACTATATATGCTTTGAAACTAAACTACCGAACGCAAAGAATTACCATGACTTAAAAATAGGTCCGGAATTACAATGTTGCCTAGGGCCCGCTTTAGTCTTGGTCCGCCACTAAATATGATATACCTTATCATAACGTTGAATAGATACACGGCAATAATCATTCATGTGGTTCAATCACTATGGGAATCACCGGCACCATGTGTATTCATGGTTTAGGTATTTTTTTATTGCCCCTTATTTATAATTTCCTCTGTAATTTCAATAGCTCAAAGACGTTGTCTATTGAATATTTTCATGATTGCTTCATGAGTTTGTATTTAAATATTATACAATATATCTTATGCATATACAGATTGAACGAAATAAATTCGGAACATAGGAATATAATGTATTTCGGCTCAATTCTGCTGTAGCTGGTTGGCCAACAAAAGATTGTCAAATAATTATATTATAAAAAATCCCATATTTCAGCGGGCTGCTGGATTCTGAACTCATAAAAATTGAAAGCTACACATAAATCTACGATTTTATTATGCTGTCAAACCAGTTATAGTCCAGGAAATGTAGCATTTCACCTCGCAATTTTTTCGTGCGGCGTGGATTGACTTGAAATTTAACAGGAGGTAGGTAATAGCCTAAGGATCAAAATCTATATCGAACCAAAGTGCGCCAAAGCCTAGGGGGTGGTTGCCACCCCATCTCCGGGGTGAAAATTTTTTTTACGTTTTAACTACAGGTTTCGATTAGAAAAGTGATTCTAAACAAAAAATGTGCTATACATTTTTTTTATAAAATGATATTTTTCAAGTTATTCGCGATTGAAAGTAACAACTTTTAGACGAAAAAATCCACGTTTTTAATCGATTTTTTGCGAATAACTTGAAAATGGTGCATTTTATCAAAAAAATTGTAGAGAACAAATTTGTAGCTTTTAAAAAGACAAATACAATTACAAATACAATATCAATGTTCAGCGGTTTTCTTCAAATGCCAAATTTGAAAGATTCAAAGTCAAATATCGGGAAAATGATGCATTTTTGGAAGAAAACTCACAAAACCTTTTTTAAAGAGCATAAATAGACCTATCATAAAAAAATAATGTCAATACCTCATTTTTTACGAAAAAATCGAGGAAAACAACACCCGAACCATAATTAAAATCGATCTTCACCCTTCTGCAATTCCCTTTGTAGATGTATTGTTAATACGTCCAAGAAGTTTGACCCATTTAAAATGCTTAGTTTTAGAAAAAGTACAGTTTAAAGCGAGAAACGATTTACAATTTCATATTTTTTACCCTTCTTTTTTTAAATATGCCCGAAAATACTGAACATATGAAAAAAATAAAAATTACCAAATTGTAGCATTTTTAATGACTAAAATTATCCTTTATTTAGATTTGTTGTACAATGAATATTTGGCGAGATATAGCCGTTTAAAGCATCGATTTACGATCAAGCACCATCTTTTTCGAGCCCTTTAAACTCACCCCATTTAAAAACCAAGGGTTCCAAAAAGATTTAATTCACAGATCCTTGTAGCTATTAAAAACCTCTACAAATCGTTTTTAAAGAAACATCTATTGTTAAAAATTAAAGGAAATACGTTAAAAAAACCAGTTAATTTTTTTCCGGAAAATTCCATTAGTATAGTACAGTACATTTCGGAGCATAATAATCTACAAAACCGGTATATTAGCTAGTGGGGCGTTATACATTCGAAATTTTAAGCGTTCTTATTTTGAAATCCCATACAACAGAATAAAACATCTGCTCATATGTCTATGGCTTGGCAATGAAAATATCAGAGCAACAGATTGGGGATGCTTTTCCAAAGATGGTTTGTTATTACCCGTACGCATGAACAAACAACCTGCACCCGATAAATTTTTGAAAATTATTTTTTGCCAATGCAAAAAAGGATGTGGCCTTTCATATGGGTGCAGAAAAGTTGGTTTATACTGTAACTCTACTTGTTCTGGGTGCTCAGGTGAAGGGTGCATAACAGTCCACCAATAATTGAGAAAGATGATGATGACATAGATCACGATGAAGATGTAATTGATGACGAATAAAATTAATATTATAATTGTTTTACCTATAAATGTAAATATTTTCAACTATTTATGTAAATGTATAAAAATATATGGTGCCTTTTTATGTTGATAAATTTTTTTGTATTTAATTTTACTTTTTTCAATTTATATCTTATAAAATAGTTTATAAAAACTGCAATGTTGTAAAGGGTGATTTTGAAAAGTTGAAAAGTTGCAAAATTTTGGCAAAAGATTGTTTTCACCTATAGCACTCATAACAATTGATTTTTAAGGGTTGAAAATGTATGAATTTGTATTTTAAAGTATAAAAAACTCATTATTTAACTAATCCAAACCAAATTTTACTAATCTTAGGATTTGTAATATTATTTTACAATTTTTTAAAATTAGGGGTAGTTTTCACCCCTAAGAACAATCAGGGTTCATCGGCATGACATAAACTATAAAGCAGAGGGTGAGTTGAGCTTAATTCCAAATTTTTATGCAAGTCGTTTCAAGGTGAAATCATTTTCTTCGCATTACTAATTTTTTTATATTAATCTCTAATGAGGGTCGCTTTTTAAGGGTTGAAATATGATGGAACTTTATTGAAAAGCACGAAACTATCATTATTTAATTAATTCAAACCAAATTTTACCCATATTCAGGTTTAATATGTTATTTTATAATTTTTGACAATTAGGGGTAGTTTTCACCCCTAAGAACAATCAGGGTTCGTCGACATGACATAAACTATAAAGCAGCGGGTGAATTGAGCTTAAATCCAAATTTTTATCCAAATCGATACAAGGCGAAATCATTTTTTTAGAATTAGTAATTTTTTACATTAATCTCTAACAAGGGTTGCTTTTTAAGGGTTGAAATATGATGGATCTCTATTCAAAAGTATAAAATAATCATTATTTAATTAATTCAAACCAAATCTTACCCATATTCAGGTTTAATATGTTATTTTATAATTTTTGACAATTAGGGGTAGTTTTCACCCCTAAGACCCTTCAGCGCACTTCGGTTCGATATAGATTTTGATCCTTGGGCTATTACCTA